TAAAATTTACATTGATAACACATTCAAACACTTTCAAATTTATACGGATTGCGGTTTATACACGATCTTTCACTAATTATAATGTGCAAATTTCAAATCTCTAGTGGCTTTTGAATTAGAATTTTCGAGAGACTAACTTTGTCATTATTATCAACTTGAAATCATATTAATTAACAAATGAAACAAACTTAAAAATATTTATTTAGAAAAAAAAAGAAAATGGACCAATCTCTTTTGTATACATTTGGTTTTAAATCTGAGTCAGCAAATTATATAATAGATGGAAAAAGCTTTTATATAGTTAAATTAATTGAATAACATAGAGAGAAAAAATTTGTATCTTTTGTAGATATGAATTTTTTTTCAAACAAATGAATTGTATGCAGTTACGTAAAGACAATATCTGTTTATGCATTTTAGATTTTCTCTAAATTACATGTAATTTGTTACATTGTCCACGATTCTTAAGTTAATATTATTTCATAAAAAAATATTTCTGCAAAAAGAATAAAGAGGAACAAATATGCTACAGATTATGTGTATCATTTTTTTTTGACCCATTACTTTTTGCACAATATTTCTTTATATGAAAGTGTTTTTTTTAAATAAAAAATAACATTAAAATATTCACTTATTTGTATCAGACAGGCAAAATTTTTATTCGATGATTTTTTATAGTCAAGAAGAAAATAGGCCTCATTAACTTAAGAATCTATCTAATCATTGTTTATGAAATTGTATATAACAAGTTCCTTATCGCGAGGAAGCTTGTATCTTTTCAATAAATAAACACTGTACAACAAAACTGAAAAACAATTGTGTTCATTGCCTTCTTTTTTTTTATTGAATCATAACTTTTAAGAATCGTTAGAGAAGCATAATATAAAGTTTATGTAATCGTTTTCACTTTGAATGTGGCATCATTGTCCGGTCATAATAATGACTAATGTATTGCTACAATGATCATTATCAATTAGAACAGATTTCGATTTTCCATTTTGTGAGTGCGTAAATTGTGTTCATTTTTTGACTTTGGTTATTGGTTAATTTGTGCTTTTGTTAAGTTTCCATTTCTGGATTATGGTTAATAGGAATTATTTTTGTTAGTTTCCATTTGTCTGGAGTTTGGTTAATGTTAGTTGATTTTTGGCACATTTGCGCCATGGATTAGTGGATTAGTAATTATAAAACGATCAGTTACTCAGGATATTGGAAGGCACCGGGAAGTTTGGTCATCCGTAGAATTTACCAAAAACTTTTTTTCGGTACCTCCTATCTTAAAGTAACTGATGCTGTACAATTTTTTTTTTTGAAGAATGTTAGTGACCCATCACCACAGAAAATAAGGATGAAGAAAGGCCGAGCAAATTCTTTTGCTGATTATTACTAACCTTACTGGAAATAACACTCGGTGGATAGTAGAGTTGATAAGAACTCATTATAAATACTGTCACAGAATTCTTATTTTTTCTGTCAGGAGGCTACTCCTTTGAATTGGTGTCACACATGCAAAATGACATAAAACTCCGAAGCACTTAAGATCACGATAAGGGTTACAAAAAAAAGTGAAGCTTACCGCGTATTTAAAGACAGCCTAAAAGAGTTTTGGAATCGATTCTAAAGACACAAATACACAGAGCAGAGCCTAAGAATACAGAGTACACGCTCTACAAAAACATCCGGATGACTCACGCGCGGCTACAGGTATATATTCCGTTATTATAAAAATAAATTATTATTTTTTTCTTTTTAATGCAGAGAAAATTAAAGACAATCGGAGTTATTTAGCTCCACGAAATAAAATGCGTCCGACACTCGCCAAGTGTAACTAAACATTGAGACACACTTGAAATCTCGTGTTGTGAGAATGAGTCATCGCGGTGTATAGCATGGAGTGAGCACGAACCCGTATGTCACGTCGTCGTGCTTGCTATAACTGTTCCGTGCACGCCTGACTGATGGAAAGGAATCCCCAGTGATGACTCACCTTTCAGGGACGCGTCGGCAGCTGCCTGGAGGTTGTTACTGCTGGCACACGAAGAGAGGGAGGGTATACACACAAAAACAAGAGTGTAAATGAAAGCACGAGTTTAAATCTTGGATGACGCGGCTATGCCGCTCGAGTGGTTGATATGGACTGCAGAAAACCCCGCAGACCTTCGTCACAGACCTAGGGGAGACTGGATGACATCATCACGAGCCAATCCAAAAGGCGATCATGGCGCGGCTGCGCGCCCGCCATCGGCCGGTTGTCGAGCCGGCCCTGCTATATACGATATATCGCAATCGATTGTTCAACTCTCGCGGCTCTACACTACGTTCTCTGTGTGTATATAGCTATGGGCAGCAGTGCGCTCTATCGACCAAAGTCACAACTCTCTTTTGAGAACAAGCGGGAACTAATCCAGATTGGATTTCATTGAAAACTGCCACGGCGGCACTGTCACCTATACTCTGTGATTCCATTCATGAAAGGTGTGCAAAGAATTTTTCTGTTTCATATATGTAAATGATGCTTTTTGGAATGTTAGTTGAAATGTAGAACTTGGAAAATAATCACGAGGAATTTCTAGCGAAAATTGACGAGAATTTTAGAATGAATAACTTTCTTTTCCTTCCCTATAACAGCATCCGGATTTAGGATGTCCTAGGAATATCCGGAAATAAGGATTTCACAGGGACATCTGATATCCTAATTTCTGAATATCTGTAGGTCGTTTCTAGGATACCCTCAATATCCGGATGCTGTTAGAGTTATCCTCGAGGATTTTACAAAAAATCTTATAACAATATAATTTGTATACATATAAATCGATTTGTTATAAAAAAAAAGTATTGCCGAGATGTTATATTATTTTGATTGGAAATGAAAACCTTATCATAAAGTAAGTGTACCATTATATCCAAGCTCGACAAAAAAAACAGGGAATATAAGAGAAAGGATACCGTATTATGACATTTATTGAGGTCTGAACTTCTGAAACTGCACAATGAGGAAGAGAATTCGAACGATGGTATACATGGTCATAAAAGGCAATAACACGAGGTATCTACTTCACTTGATGAATATTGTGCTCGCCTAAGCCCTCTGTTATGAAAAAATCCCCACAAAATGTTTTCATATCAATAAAAATTGTGTCAAAAAAAAGGAATATAAATATATTTTGAAATAAAGGATGTTATATTTAGAAGACGTAGCAAAAAAAAAATGTAATTAAAAATTAAGAGAGGTCAGGATAACAAAAGTTCTTGAAGTAAAGTTGATCCTAAAATTAGAATGTTCTAGGAACATTCGGATGCTATCTTCTATTTATTTCTATAAATATTTTGATCAACGTTTTAGACATATGAAAACACAGAATCACATCTCAAAAGCCATATATGTGTTGTGTCGATCTGAGAATAATTTTACATTCTTGAAAATGTTTTTTTTTTAAAGAAGGGTGCGAGTTACCTTGTGCGAGGAGGGAAAAGAGTGTTTTGCAAAAAGCCCAAACGACCTGCTCAGTAATACACTCATATTCTTTTGAGGATTTGGATATATAAGGTTTGAGGAATGGTCAAATTATGCAGCATATTCCAAGAAGCTGAGAGACGTGTCGTCGCCCCTATCGCAAAACTTTTCACATCCTCTTACTCTTGTTTCAAACGAGAAAATATTTTGATCTTGAAAAAAATGTTATTTTCTGCAAGAGAGAAAGAGAGCTCGCGAATTTTTTTCAGAAAAGCTTTAAAAACATGTATCGACTGTCAAATATTATACATTTATTCGAATAATCAATCTTGAGGAAATCGTTTACAAGATTTACACTTGTCAACAATATGTTTTTGTATATATGTAATGTCATCAATCAAACGAATTCTATTGAAAATTTAATTTACTCGAAAATTATTTGGTTCAAGGAAATATTTATTTGATAATAAAGTAACCAATATTATTTGAATCAAATAAAAAAATTTTTTCTTATATAGAAATTGACCTGGCAAAAGAAACCTATCAAGAATAAACTAACGTCATCTCCACACACATAAGGTGGTTATTCTAATTTAATAAGGAACATTTGTATTTGCCTAAAGATTATACGCTTTACTTCGTGACGATGACCGGAATAGAGAACAAAAATAAAAAAAAGAATCCCATTAGCTTTTAATAAAGCTGTACAACGACCCTCTGGGTTTTCCTCCCCTTCATATTATTCTATTGAAATTTTAACAATGAGCATAATAAACTTCTATGCCTCACAATAAAAGTTCAAAAAACCTTTATTGTATTATGTAAATAATAAAAAAAAAAATTAAAATTTCTGGCATTTTTGGTAACAAGATAAAACGATCTCCTCATGAGAATTAATTAATCGTTGTCATAGAATTAATGATTAATTCCAATAATTTTCAAAATCTCAAACATAAAAAAGAGAAATTTAGAATATATTTTTGCAAAAATTTGTCACTTATGAAAATTAATTTACTTCATAATGGTCATCATGATGCTTAAAGGCTGAAACAGGGTGGATGTGTATTTGCATAAGTGACTTATGGTTGACGTAGATATTACACCCCCTCATTCCATTCAGGGATTCGAATATCTTTGATGTGACATTCGCGGGAGGGTTTTATAAATGAGGGACCACTTATAACGAACCAGTGTTGAATATCATGTGATGGTCTTATATCAACATCATGTTACACTATTTCGAGAATGTACATAAAAAAAGCAATTTTTTTTAAGTGTCCATTATAAATAAAGAAAAAATTCCCAATAGTATTTGAATAACGCTTTGGAAAATAAATTTTGATTTAAATTTTGATTGAAAATTATAATTTTTTCGAAAAAAAAATTATAACAATTTGTATTCGTCATTTCTTTATAAATTGATAAAAATACAAGAATTAATTTATTATAATTGAAAAATTATTAAAATAATAAAACGTAATTTTCTGAATATTCAAGCATTATATACATTTCATTTTTATCAGATAAGGCCACGTCACCTGTTGTTTAACAGATAACGATGCTTGTGACAGTTCTTGTCTGGTATTCACAGTTAGTAGATGCGTTTTCAGTTTAAATTCAATACTGTCAATTTTGAAAAGTAAAAAACAGAAAAAAGTTGAATAAAGTGAATGCAACATTTAGTGCTTCTATAGGGGTAAGAAATATTGTTTTCATTATCATTTTTATTAATTACAATAATTCACACTACTACTACTAATAGTAATAATCTAATAATAATAAACTTTAGTGAAAAATGACTAAAAATTAGTAGAAATTTTCACTAATTAAAATAAGTTAAAAAAATTCTCATATTTCTTTAGAGACTATACAAATTTAATATTATTTAAATAATCCGACCTTTGTTCGTGAAACAAACAAAAATATAGGAATTTTCCTGTAATCGTAAAAATTGTTATCAAATCCGCCCCGGATAGAATTAGTCCGCAGATAATATTAACAGGAAAGTAAAAGTCAATTTTTTGCAAAATATACAAAAAAAAATCTAATCTTTTAATCTGCATATAAATAAATATGTTATTTTCATATAGGGAAGAAATGTAAATTTTCTAAAAAGTAATCTCTTTTTGTTTTTAAACAGAAAATAATGAGCAATCTGTATCCGAGTTTAGAGGACAAATTTAAAAATGAAGGGATCTGTCCAATATGTATGCAGGAAATGGAACTCACGCCAAAGTTTTCATGCGTGAATAATCATGTATTATGTCATCGTTGTAAACCATATTATTTCTCCTGTCCAAAATGTCGATCACCAATTGATATTGAAATTACACCTCCGGAGGTGAATCCATTTAATTCACCACCGCCAGTTCATTTGATGCCACACCCAATGCCAATGCCTCGTATTAATACTCCATATCCTACTCAAATGCCAATGCCAATGCCCAGTGCACCGATGTTTGATGATCATTTTCTTGTTCATGAAAGACAAAATTTGAATCCACCAACAGAACATCAGGAATTTATTCCTTGTGCTTATTCACAATATGGATGTTGGGTCAAATTTCCAGAGCATTTAAAAGAAATTCATGAGTCAAGGTAAAATATTAAAATGATTCATTTTTTTTCTTAATCTATGTATAAGGCAATTAAGATAAGTTTTATGTTATACTGAATTCACTAAATGGAAAACTAATTTAAACTTGAAAGTGTATTCTCTATATAATTAACGTGAATATCATTAAGGATTTAGAATTAAGATTTAAACTGCGTGACTAAAAGGGGTTGTTAGCAAAAGTTACTTCCCTATCAGTTCCCCTAAATTCTACTTATTCCCATCCTCTTTTTTCTTAGAGACGATCCTTTTAGATTCTTTTGTCAACTCTACTTCTGTCCACTATACTCTTTGCTTCAATCTTGTGTTTAAAATCCTCTTCCTCTGATTCTTTGCATAGCAACGGTTAGCATGGCAACTGTTAGAATACAGCAAAACAGTTTGTATAGCAACAGTTAGCATATATAACAACGGTTACCATAGAAACCGTTACCATGATAGTAAACGTTACCTTAGCAGGCTTCAAAACCTCTGTCATATTTTTTTTGTTTCTAATTTCAGATGCCAGTTTCAAAATCAAACATGCAGTGAAGAAAATATTACCGATTGCAGATATAAGGAGGCAGGATGTAATATTCAACTTCCCGCTTATAAAAAAGCATCACACGAAGATGATTGTCCCTATAAAGGAAGATTTGAAGAAATGGAAAAATTACATTCATCAATTGCAGCCGTTTCACTTGACAATAGCTCCTCGGATGATGAATCATATCATGATCCAAATGAAATAGTTGAATGCAAATATAGAAAATATGGTTGTATGGTGAGAATGCCCTATCATAGAAAAAGACAACATGAGGATAAATGTAATCATCAAAAAGATGAATCCTATCATAATCCAGATGAATTAGTTATATGTAAATTTAGAAAATATGGTTGTATGGTAAGAATGCCCTATAAACGTAAATTAATGCACGAAGATGAATGTAATTATCGCGTTAATGATAGTGATGATGAAGATTCTTATGTATATGAAGAAGATCCAAATGAGTTAAGCGATTGTAAATGGGCAAAATATGGATGTAGAGTAAGACCACAATTTTCACGTAAATATATTCATGAAGAGAAATGTAATTATAAACAAGATGAATGTTCATATAAAAATTATGGATGTCCAGCAAATTTTCATTCTTCGCAAAGATTTGCTCATGAAAGATCATGTCATTATGCTCCCTAAAAGACATACTTATTCTATTTTTATAATTTAATAAAATTTAGTTACAATTATTTTTTTATGGGTATATAGAAAGAAGAAAATAAATATATTTAAAAAATAAAATTATTTTCAATTCTAATTTCTTTCAACCTATATTTCATAAGAAGAAAATTAACGGGACATGTTCTAAATATCGATTAGCATAATCTATATTAATTCCTAAATTATCCACCAATTATATTTAAGTACCTAATATGCATTTAATAAGCTCCCCCTACGTGCGGAGATTATATATACACGCTTAACTTCTCATTAATGTGCAATAACCCATTTCTTGCATTGGAAATTCTATAAACACGATTTTATGCTAATATTGTTTGTCTTTTAATTTTTACACCTTCAGAAATGTGAAATTTATTTTCATACTAAATAATAGAAATTAAGAAGTTGTAATTTTTTTTTTTTTTTAATTTTGACATTGTATAAGGGGATTATTTTGTAGTTTCGTGAAAATGGATTAAATTCGCCAAGTACGGAAAAGATGATCGCCTAGAATAAGCTGATATAAAGGAATGGTTGGGGTGAGATATCTAACACCTGGAGGCTAATGGTACACAGTTTCTCCCTTCAGTATATATGGAACATTTCAGACTAAATGACACATTCACATTTACACTGCCTATTTGTGACGACAACATCTCAACGTGATGTGAAACAAAATCCACTTATACGTTGTCGTCGTCGTTTTCATCATAAATTGCTTTAACGTATTTTTATTGCACGCAAAAGATCACTAAAGTTAAACGATAGAAATTAATTTTTATATAACAAGTCACTTGACTTTTTTTTATATCCCTTTGATTATATTAATTTTTACTATTAATTATTAATTATAAATAATTAATAATAGTAATTATTATGATGAAGCAATTTCTTTTAGAGATTTTTAAATCTTAATTTTTCAAAGTAGAGAAAAAAAATGATAAAATTGTTCAACAATTTGATTTTATCAAAAACGTTTTCATAACACTCGAGAAAATGAATTTTTATTGGAAAATTGAAAAACTGGAGGCATTATATAATTCTATTTGTACAATAAATTGTTTTCAACATATATATATAGTAAAATCAACAAAGGTTCTTGGATCGGTAATTTTTATCGTTGACGAGTATGTAATCAGCACATCCCCTTTTTTTCGATTGCGAAAAAAAGAAGAGAAGTCAAAGTTACTCTCTCTCTCTCTCTCTCTCTCTCTCTCTCACCACGGGAAATCTTGAAATTCCCAAGAGAATTTAGATTCCGGCTCTTCGAAACTAAATAAATATCGAATGGCTGAAGAAAATCTCCCTCTGATGCCTGACGGGTCGTCAGGTCTATTACGAGCCCAAAGGGTCAGAACTTTGTTCGCGTCGCAAAGATGGACAAAGAGAAATGGGGAATATTTTACATGCTGGAAAATTGAGAGGGATATGTCTATAACTTTATATAGAAAAATAGTCCTAAACAGATAAAACAAAAACTGAAAATTATTGAATCGAATTTTTTTTTTTACTGATTTTCATCGCTAATTTGCCAAATTATTTTTCTATATTTTACAAAATAGAAAAAGTATTAATTTCACACTATTAAGATATAGAATCGAGAGCATAAAGATTATGCTCGAATAATTTTATAGCAGAAAGCAATTATCGAGGCATCTCTCTTACCAGCTTCACTTTCTCTGGATTAATTTTCATCTTGGAACGATGAGAGAGGGGTCTAGGCAAATTGTACCTCAAGGGAGCCACAACCAAAAGACACAACTTTAATTAAAAGACAGGTGCTTCTAGAATTGTCTTAATTTCATCTTATATACATATACAAAACACAAATATATATACAAACTTTCATATAACAAATTTCAAGCGAATTTGATGAAATCCGCCATATTGAATCGGCCATTTTGAATTTTGAAAAACTCAAATTCGTAATCAGAATCGGTGTGTAAAACACAATAAGGAAAAATTTATATAAAAATGATGATTATTACAATATATAAAATTACAATTTGAAGCACAATGGCAGGTCGCGAAATCCAGAGTCAAGGATATTGCCCTAATGCATGAATTCTGACAGTAATCCAATGTTTTGAATAGAAGCCATAGGGGTTCTGGGGATATTATAGGATTGTAGTCAATTCAACCCTCCCAACAATGCTACTGTGATATAACCTGTTATCAGTATAAATTGCTAATATTCAGAGACAATATCGCACAAATGAAATATTCCAAATCTTGAATGTTTCAGAAAAAAATTTTAACGCAAAATATAAAAATATATCAAATTATATTCTTTACTTGAGTTAAACACGCAAAGTTCATAATTCTTTTGTATTTCGTTTCGTCCTTTCTTCGAAAATATTTTTTTTTTTTATATTATTCCAAGAATTTTGTATACAAATTTCCATATATTGAATTTTTTTTTTTTTGAAAGAGAAATAAAATTTCGATTTATTGAAAAATTTTTTTTTTCTATAAAACAGCAATATTGGCAAATATATAAATATTTCAAGCGCAAAACTGTAGATTAATTTTTGCACGAAAGGAACAAAATGCAAATGAAAAGGCAAACGAACATCGTTTATATTTCAATAAAACATTTTCACGCGCACACTAATGAAATTGCTTTGCCTGTGATTGTATATAAGAGAAAGTTTTATTCCCTTCCACGAAATTAAAATGTTTAATATACAACCCTTTTTTTTCGAAATGGAAAAATATTCATACTGCTTGAACATTGTGCGTGAATTAAATATACATACACTTTAAGAAAAGAGGACAGAAAAACGAAGAAAAAGGGCAGATTTAAATGAAACGCAAAAGTAATGTAAATTCAAGTTGAACGAGATTGGAAATAGAAATGAAAAATGAAAATCTTTGCCAAAAAAAGAGAGAGAGAGAAAAAGAGAAAAACAAAATCTGTAATCCGATTTGAAATTCTTATATATACATAATTCACACTCATTTTATAGATATCACGTTCTTTTAGCGTTTGGTGCAAGACAAACTTTTTTAAAGAAAAGAAACTAATTTTCTTCTCTTAATTACGCTTGGGACCCGAACGATGATCAACAGAAACTCATGTTCTGAATTTTAAGTTTGATCGTCATGAAAATTCTTGGTTAATTATTCAAATTGAAGTCTAAAATTTTCGTTGTACTTTTTTTTAATTTTATTTCTTCTTTATTTATTCATTCGTTAGAAATTAATTCTAACGTTATAGACGTTTGGTATTTTTTATTTCTATTCTTATTATAAAAAGGTCATACACGTAACGCATAACGCGTAACGCTTTTACGTGATAAACGTTAAATTTCAAATAGTCAAATATATTAACATAAAATATCATATAAATGAGAAATAAATTATTTAGTTCGTTTTTGAAACAAGGAGGAAGGATTTTGTCATTTTCCAGGAAAACATTCTTTCGAAAAAAAAATGATTTTTAACTTATTTTCCAGTTAGTATGATTTGAAAAGAGTATTTTTTTCTTTAAAAAAATAGTAGTCAATTCTATCCTATTATAAAAAGGTCATAACCATAACGCATAACGCGTAACGTTTTTTCGTGATATCCTTTTTTTGCGATGGTCTAGTAAATTTAAAAATCCGGACAATCCAGTGAATGATAATATTTTACTCTTTTTGTAAAAAAGTGCTTTTTTAATGCTTTGTATATACTGTGTGTTACTGTGTGTTATATTCTCTATCAATGCAAAAATGTGTGTGACGAGACGATAGCAACGCAAAATCTATAGAACAAAAAGAGTGCTTGCACATGCAGTAAGGATAATTGTCGTATTTCTAAAAGAATAGACTTTACGAGGGGGAAATTAAATTGCAATGCTATGTCAAATAATTCTTTCCATTTCAAATACTCACAATAATTTTACTTTTGCAAAAAATATTTAATTATTAACTAAATATAAATATAAATAAAAAAATATACTGACAATCGGATTATTTATAACAACAATAAGAATAAAAATCAAATCCTAAGTGAAATAAACTAATAAAATTCAAGGAGAAAAAAAATTTCTTTTTTCTATTTTCTTTACTCTTTATTATGGAAATGAAATTGAATTAGGGACGCACATTTACTTTACGTGCTTCAATGTAGTGTAATTTATCGATGGTAATTAAACGAAGTTAACGTCAGCACCGGCTGCTTGTCGATGACCAACGGTCAGTGCGTGAGTCTCCTATTAATGGGCTTTTTTTTACTTTAACTCACCACACTTTATGTTCCCACTTTATATGTATATATAGTTATTTGTCAACAATTCATTATATTTCAATTTGCATTTTATCAAATTTTTTAACATTTTTCTTTTTCAAAATTTTTTCAATGAATATAATTCTTTTCAAATAGCATAAAACATACTATACAACCACAATATTGCGAATATTGCACGGAAATATTGAGGCAATATTGCCGCAACATAATTGCTATTTGTATTTACATTCACATTCTTAAAATTAATGTCGACATTTATAATTAGTTGGTGAAGTAGAGCAATTATAATTTGAGAACGGAAACTCTCTTTTAATTGTGTGCATTGCAGGGATGTGTCCGGAAATGACATTTTTGTTCTGTTCCGTGCCAGTGCCACGGAATAAAAATATTTACATATTTAGTTCCGTGCCAAGGCACGGAACAAAAATGGTTGTGTATTCAGTTCCGTGCCGAGGCACGAAACGAAAATGTATATATATTTAGTTCCGTGCCAAGGCATGGAACGAAAATAGTTGTATATTCAGTTCTGTGCCGTGGCACGAAACGAAAATGGTTAAATATTTAGTTCCGTGCCAAAGCATGGAACGAAAGTAGTTACATATTTAGTTTCGTGCCGAGGCACGAAACAAAAATGGTTATATATTCAGTTCTGTGCCAAGGCATGGAACGAAAATAGTTGTATATTTAATTCCGTGCCAAGGTACAAAACAAAAATTTACAGGTATTTATTTTCGTGCTATAAGTACAGAATAAAATTAATTATTTAGGAATATTATTCCGTTCCAAATACGTAAACAACAATAAATGAGAACAGATTGTCGGGCCTGTTTACATTAAGTGTCCTTGCA